TGGTCATCTTTAYATTCTGGGTGCTCCATCTACTGTTTTATCCCAGAATTCCAGGTTTCTGTAACTTGACCATTTTCAGCAGTGTTTTCTTGAAGGTTCTGGAAAACAAAACATCCATCCACCTGCGCCATCCCTACAAAGAGTTCCCACCCCAGGAAGCTTCGATCCCAGCTTGGTAGCAATTGCTGGGAAGCACAAAAAGAGGCATTATCAGCTGTTAGGTGGGGATTTCAGCAGGCTGTCTACTGTGTGGATATTAGGGAAGAGAGAATGTCAGACTTACCTGAAACTGGATAAAGAATGATATTACYGAGACATATGGATGATGTATGAGTGATGAGACTATATGGGAGAATATTAGCAGGGATTCTGTTTCAAAATCTAGTGATACTGCTGAGAGCTAGTGGTATTAGGCTGATTCAGTCAACTGATTTGGAAGTAGAATTGCTCTGTTGATAGACTTTTAAAGTCTAGGAGTTAGAAGGTGGCTTTGATATGGTGGAATGAAGATGTACAGAGAAAGTAGGGCCATTGCCAAAGCGATGATACAAGAACAGGGTCAGAATGCACAGGGTTTGCTGCATAAGCCAAGGTCCGAGGAGAGTATTTTAGCAGGAAACTTCTGTGTCTGTAGTGAGAGCCTCTTCCAAGAGAATGCCATGAAGTCCTGAGAAATGAGCTTTACAGTTTAGAAGAGTCAGCTGAGGGGAGCGCGGAGTGCAGTAGGGCTTGTGTTTTGGAGAAGGCTCAAAAGGAAAAGTTGGCTTGTGATAAAACGGGCAATTTGTGGCAGTCAGGGGATTGATAGTGGGATACAGGCTCTTCTGTGAGAGCTTCTTAAACGCAGCTCTAGAGATGTTTAACCTGGAAGCTGCCAGTCTTTGTGTTTTGTATAGTTGATCCTGAAGCTTAGAGTTGATACTACCTAGCTAAAATTGCCTAAAAGGTGCTAATTCGGGAGTTAGTTACTTATATTATTATGGACCAAACCTTGACCTTTTTCCCCGCTTTTAACAAATCTGGAAAGGGAAGAATTATGGCGGTGAAGAATTAGACCTGTGTCTCATAGAGATGGAAATGCTGCATTTGCTGTGTGGCTGCAGGAAATAACAGATCTGTGCAAGCAAATGCTCTTTCTGCTTAGGCTCTGGGTGCGTGAGAGATGGAAGCAGCACTGGAGAAGAACAGCAGTACTGGAGAAAAACAAAAGTAGCTACGAGCTGATCACTGTTGACCAAGAGATACTGGCTTTGCCAAGCGACAGATGATCCTTATTCTCACCTCTCCTTTTTCCTCCTTCTCCTCATGCTGAGGATCTTGTTCTAGAGCTGTCTTCCTAGAGGGAAGTGTTTAGTCCTGGCTTTRCCATTACTGCAAGCCAAGCCTGTGACAGGGTGAAGAAGCTGAACTCTTTCCATATAAAGATTTTCTTTTCACCCCAGCCTAATGTTAGTGACTTGAGAAAGGTGCTTTCTGAAGGCACCAGGATTTCGAGCAGCATCTTGSCATGCAAGTTCATTTTTTTCCACCCATCCAAGTGCTGCCTGCGCTAGCATGTTGCCAGAAACACTGTGCTGTTTGTTCCCTGTAACGCACAGTAAGTCTTCTCCAAGCCAGAAGGCTTTTCCTACCCTCCTCCCTGCTCCGGGTTGTGTGGTGCCCCAGGGAAGGGAGGAGCAGGAGCACAGGAAGCTCCCAGCTGGCACGGGGCTCCCCGGGCGCTGCCCAGGCCCTTTGTGCTCCTGACTTCCCTCTAGGGAGCATGGAAAGGGGCTGGCAGCCAAACCCTGCCTGGACTGGGGTTGGGCTGAGCTTTAGGAATGGTTAAAGGATACATACCGCAGTCTTCTGGCTAGGCAAGATCCTTGCAGGAGACAGTTGGAGATTTTTCCTTTTCCTTTTTTTTTTCCCCTCCCCATTTCTTACCAAGCGTCTTTCCCTACTAATTTCCAGCCCCTGCTGTTCTTCCGGAGCAGGATGTGCCGGAAAGGAACTTTATACAACATAGCTGTGTTCGCTCCCGTTTGTTGTGAAGGAGGGGAACTGACTTAAGTCTGTCTGCTAGCCGACAGTTTCCATCTGCATCAGGCTGTGGAGAAGTCTGTTGTGGCAGATCGTATCTGTCTTTGCTGTGGTGTGGTGAATAAACAAAGCAGGCTTTACTGATTTCCTATTCCTTTCTGATAGGTATGAGCTAAGAGAGCTCAGGTAGTTTTCTGGGGTTTAGACATGCTCGTGTAAATAGAACCACAAAATAGCATCTCTTTGAACCGTACCCTAAAGAGTCCTTCATCATAACAGCTTGGCAGGCTCTGCATAGCTTTCCCCATAAAGGCAGCACAGCCAGAGCAGGTGAATCCTATTAGTGTCACTGCAGAAATAAAAAGGATTTTGCTTTTTCTCTGWCACAGAAGGAGGTCTTGCAAGGGAAGAATCAAGCAGCAGTTGTGCTCAGGAGACTTATTTCTGTCGTAGTCTTGTTGCAACGGTAAGAGCAAAATCCAGGAAGGGCAAGAAATATAGGACTYAAAAAGTTAAGTAATGCCACTGCTGAGATTATCTGGATTTATGCATTTATGTTGTGGATTGACTGAGGTAGTATGGCTGGGAAAAATGGTGTGTGTAAAAAAAAAAAAAAAAAAGTAACTGAAAACAGTCATTTATTTTTCCCTTCTCGCTGAGAGGCAATGGCAGACCTGTGAGATTTGGGTTTGTGCTGCCTTCAGCCAGCCTACAAAATTGCTTTGAGAAAGGAAAAAAGAGGCACCCAGTGAAGCTGGACTTGGGAAGCTGCTTGCTTTGGGACATTAGGATCTGTAAGAACGCTTGAGGTATCAAATGTCTGGTCTTTATTAAAGGAGGCAGGAAGATGCCAGATATTAAGCAGGCATGGAAAGTGTTGTAGATACCTTTTCCTTTTGTGCCTTTTTTCCCTTTGTTGATAACAAAAAGTTTTTGGTTTTGAGAAATTTGTCCCTAAAGGGAAACCCAGGTTCCRAAAGACCTTGCTGGAGGGTTTTCAGTTATGTTTGAAGGCAAAACTACAACTAGACTAAGCCTAAACAAAGGAAGGATCCCTTGTTGAGGAAGTGTTTTTAGCTGGCCCTCCTCCTATGAGTGTCTCCSTGGCAGCTGTTAGAAACCCTGCTCCCCTCCCAGGCTCACATRGATTCCTTGTGTTTCCCTCCCCAGCGGGATCCTCTGCAGGACTCGCCCTGGGCCGGGCAGGAGAGCATCTCAGGATTCCCCCCTCTCCTGTTTCGTGCTGTCTTTTAAAGCATTAACTATTTAGAGCAGCATCTCTGATGTTTTCACACACTTATAAGAGACTTTTATAAAAGACTGCTTGTGATCGCATCTTTGGATTTCCCGACAGCTGGAAAAAGGACTGGAAAAGGGACTGGGAAGTAGTTCTCTTTCTATTTTTGCTTTAATTTAGTGCTTATTGGTGGGCCAGTGATGGTTTTGCCTTTCTTAGGGATTTGGATGGATTTGCTTTACAAAATGAGAGAGATAACAGTTGTGGTTTGTAATAAAACACATTGTGCTTGGTTGCTTTCTATCACTTACTGTTGTTAATGAATTACTACCCTCCATGATGTTCCCTTCACTTGATGACAGGAGACATTTTCACATCTAACATGCTGATGAAGTTGCCTACATGCTTGTCGGATCATGCACCTTTCACAAACGTATATATATTTTGCAAGTCCCAAGGAGAAAAGGCAAACTTCTTGGATTTGGTGTTTACTTTGATTGTTTTAATAACAGTAATTGTTTTAATTTGGATTGCGAGCGTCTGGATTTTTTTAAAAGGTGCCGTAGCTGAAGGGCTCTCTGTCTTCTCCATCTGCTTGAGCTGCTTTTCCCTGACAGAATTTCAGGGCTCATTGTGAGGATGGCAGAAAATGACAGTTCTGCTTTCTGCTCTCTGACCAAACAAGTTTTAAGGGAAAACTCTTATTTTGGGTTTGCATTTTGGGGGGAAGGGGTTCTGTTGAAGTCAGTGAAACACTGCACCAGAGAGCAATGTTCTTCTGAGCAAGAGTTCTTCTGCATATGGGGGAGGCTTGGACACTAAATGATGAGTGGCAGTAGAGGTAGTACAATTGCCTAGAAATGCATACAGAAAATTCAAATACCTGCATGAGAGGGAAGTTGCTTCAGGATGAATACATTTGAGCAATCTGTATGCTCGCCAGAAAGGTTGTTAAAGCTGCCTTCTGCATGAATGCTGGGACCGTGAAAATTCAGATAGAAACCAATTAAACTCTTGCCATAGTTGTGTGCGCATTTCTGGGTATGGTTTGCATTTGATTTGTTTTATTTTTTCCCCGTCTGCTTTCTTTATTCTGCTGTCGTTAGTCCACACCTCGTTATATTCTCCTAGAGTGCACACCCCTCTTGCCTGTTGGGGTGGCGAGCGGGGTAATTTGCAGTGGTGCAAAGTGCTGAAGGGAGCGAATCAGCTGGGTAAGGCGTTGGATGGGCAGAGCGGCTTCCTGGCCCAGCTCACTTATCTCRCATTGTTTAGGACACAGAATGCAGCAGTTAATGGAAAATGTGATAGAAAAGCCTTACTTACCTGCCTAGAAAAGAAAAAAARGGTAGGACTGAATGATAAATACAGGGGATATATTGTCCTCCACTAGTAAAAGCTGTAAATTGAGGGTCTTGGACTCTGCAGCAATGCTAGTAGGGAACAGTTATACATAGTAGTCTGGATAAAATAGCACTATAAARTGCTGCGGTATTTTTCCATTTTCTTCCTCAAATAGCTCTCCCTGAGTTGGTATCAAGCTACAGATAATTCTTTTGCTGTGATCARACTTCAGTCTGGCTACTGAGAGGTTGGACCAGATGATCTGTAGAGGTCCCTTCCAACCTGAACCATTCTGCGATTCAGTGATACCATGTAGCATTTATGAATATTTGGAGATAAATGCTTGTGATGTCAGCTTGTTTTTCCCTAAGTAGTGTTTGTTGTAATTTTTTCCCAGCTATCCATTGCAATCTGAATCCCAATGGTATTGATCATCCTGTTCCCACAGAAGATATTAACCTGCAACTTGAAGGAGAAGGAGTTGAATCGCCCTCTGTTAAGAACACACCGAAAGGGCCCSAGTCGAAAGAGACACCCAAGAAACAAGTGGAGCCAGAAATATCTAAGGTAGGTTGAGCTGGATCCTTCCTTGTTTCAGCTGGCCTTGAACAATCCCAGCGCTCTGGCATCCTTGCTACTGCTYGGAAAGCATTTATCGTTCTGATAAAGAGCCCTGGAACAGGCTGCCAAGAGAGGTTGTGGACTCTCCTTCTCTGGAGATCTTCCAAACCCGCTTGGACACAGCCCTGTGCCCCGTTCTCTGGGGTGACCCTGTGTGAGCAGGGGGTTGGACTAGGTGACCTGTAGAGGTCCCTTCCACCCTTAAGTATTCTATGATAACAGCATGTAAAGGAACAAAAATGTTCTGAGGGGAATGGGTGTTACAGAAGGGTGATATTGCATTTGAGTTTCAGCACACACATATATCTTGGTATTATTATTATTAAGACGATAGAAGTAATGGAATTGTTCTTTCTGACACTGTGAAGATAAACATTTTCTGAATTACTTGAGTAACAACCAGGAAGGGAGTATATTTGGGGTGTGCGGAATTTTGTGTTTGTATTTTCTTTTCCTCGAGCAGAAAGCTTCTATGGGTATGTGAATATGTGGATTATCATATGGGTAACTGATTTTAATAGGCAATGTTAATTGATTTTAAGTAAATATGGCCATTTTTTCTGTATCTAGTGTGTCAGTGAATAGACATACTTCAGCTGCGAGTTCTTRGAGACAAAATGATGTGTCTGTTCTCATTAATAAGCTGATAGAAGTTCTGCTGTGTCTTGTCCGGGCACAAAATAGGTGTCTATGAAATGCAGGTGAATGTGTGTGCTCCAGCTATCCTGGCTGTAGGGCAATAATTTGTTATATTAGGTGTGTGTTTAACTACAATGACAAATAAGAGATTGTAGAATATATTTTAGGCCAGATTCTATAAAAACCCCATCAATCCCATTGATCTAAAATCTAAACCCTAAAAACATATATTTTCGGGGAGAACTTATGCAGAGTGGAAAATTGAATTTTTAGTGGATTTGACACTTTGGGAGTTAGTAGAGCAAATAAAATGGATTTTTTTAAAGAACAAAATAAAAAAAAGATGTGTWTTATAACAACTGTTTCAGTGGCTGAACAAATAAGAGTCACCCRTACAATAAATGAGTTTCACGTTTAGAATAAATTAGCATTAAATATTTTGAGCAGTAGCCTTAACAATGAAGATTCAATATCAATTCTCTATCCTGGTATTTATCTAAAATATCTAGTTATAAATGGGTGCATTTTCAACTCATTTCATTGTGTCTTGAAGTCATTGAACTGGATTCAATTCAGTTCAGGCAGAAGTTGAGCAGAATCAGTGCTACTTGTAGTGTCTTTTGTGGCTAATATCAAGTGAGCTGCTKATTTCTCGGGAGCCCTTAAGGGGCAGGCTGGTGCTTAATGATTTGAATTTTCTCTTTGGTAACAAGCAAACCAAGTTTTGGTTAGTCTTTGAGACAAAGCTCAGCTAATCCTGTGTTTACGCAGCCCTTTGCAAGGACAAGCAGACTCTGCTGGTGTATCACCTTTTGCCAGGCTCAAACCTGGGCTGTGGGGAAAACTAGGGAGGTTTGAGCTTGAGCAAATGTTGTTGKCCTGGGAATGAACTAAATGCACTAAAATAAGCAATGAGGCTTCTGCATTTGTGTCGAGCTGACCTGGAGTGTAGCTAGATAAGGTGCATCTTTGTAAGAGCTTCATCCCCAACAGACAGCTGGAATCGAGTTGTGTCGGTGAGTTCATGTAGGGGAGCCTGTGCTCCTGCTGCCTGTGTCCTGCCCGATGGATTGATGAATGGAACCCCCTTCCCAAGGGTGCGTGTCAGAAGATGGGGAGAGGAGCGAGGTGAGAAAACATTGATCTCTRTGGAGGGATGTTGGCCCTAGGACTTCTATACCTGATTCCCTTGTATAGGAAGAGTGGCCGTATTTAGGAAGAGTTGGGCATGCTGCAGGTTTAATGACAAAAACAAACAACAAAATAGGTATTGTGTGTGATGGAGTACGCTTGCCCTCGTGTCATTAAGCTGATGAGATGGATTACTGCTCTGCKTGCGTGTGCTGCTGCCATGGTAGGTAACTTCTTTTTATCTCTCCCCTTTTCTCTGTAGCATTAACTTTGTGGCCTTTCTCATTTGGATTCGTGCATTATAGTGCTCCCTGGTCTGTTCTTCCTGGCTTGCTGTGCTACAGACTTCAAAATTGTGTTGCTGTGTCCTCCAAATGAGTTGGGTGACTTGTGAGGGTTTTAGAAATTGAAGTAAGCTGCTGTTATGAAACTTGATCCATGCTATCATATCCGTCCGGTGGAAAGATGAGAGKGAATAGAGGAAAGTATTATAAATAAAACACTTCAAACAGATCCTTTTGTTTTATATTTCCTAATCGCTCGTTTTTTTTTTTTTTAATTTCTTAGCAATCCTATGCACTCAAATATATTAACACTTATCTCATATCCACCCTAGTGAGATTTATATGGCACACAGCAGCACAGTGTGTTAAATGTAATTTAGGAAGCCTTATAGACCATTTTCTGTGCCCTCAGCCCTCTAATTTGTCTTCATTGGGACCAATTCCAGCACTTGAAACTGGAGGCAGCCTGAAGATTTTACTGTCCCAAGGAGAAAACAGAACCTGCTCTCCAGTGTGTTTGTGTGTGTGTGTGTGTGTGTGTGTGTGTGTGTGTGTGTGTGTGTGTGTGAGGGGCTGTCCTCTTTCTCATCTGCTGTGAACTTACAGAACAGTAACAATCAGATTAAACTTCCCCTTAATAGCGTTACTGTATTGAAAATAGGGAAGTATAAGCATTTGCTTTGAAGTTTGGGATGCACCTGCAGAAAGTGCAGCATGGGAGAAGCAGCCCTCAGCATATTCCCATTGAGAATGGYATTTAGTTTTTGGAGACTGAGAGAAATTGTTTTAAAGGAATTTTAAAGGAAAATGGAAAAATGACCTCGGTGTCTCCCAACCTCATGAAGAAGCTATGTAACAAATATGAGCAGATTCAGGAAAAGTCATTATTTTTCATATCTGAAGTGATCTGTACCATCCAGTGGGACAGATAAAGTACAGGAGATTACAAATTGAGGAAACTAAATGTAAAAATACTACACCTTTCCTATTATATCTCTATATGTTAAAATGTATTTATATATGTATATTTACACTCCTGTGAACACGCGCTTGGTTGATAGTTATTTTTTCGGTATTCACAGTACATCTGAAAAGGTAGGCAATAGAGTGGATAGAGCTTAAAGCTCTTTATTGAGGAAAAAATAGAGGATTTAGATATTTTTTTTACTTGGCACCTTCTGCATTTAACCTGTTTTCTGTATGTGTATTTACTGGAATTCTTTATGTTGTTAAGATGCTATGTCTAGATTATTTTCTTCTCTATTTTTTCATGGAATTACAGAACTTTGAAATCTCAAATTTCATGTCTCATTATATTTATCCAGAAATAATTATTTATGATACAGAAAAATTTTCTGGACTTCTGAAGTCCCATGTGCCTGAGTTTGGGCTTGAACCAAAGGTATCTTTTATAAAAGATCTGGAAAATCATTTGTCTTGCAGAAATATTAACTTTACCCCAGTTTCCCACATCTTACACTCATAAAGTTGTCTTCACTGTGTGCACGAGACCTGCTTCTCGTCTGTCACTTATTAAAAGCAGTCTATTTATTCAGGGAGTTTTGATTCTTACCTAAGGTATGTGCATCTGTGGGGGCATTGCTGGTGCTGTGCGGTAGCAACATAGCAAACAGGGTCATTTTAATGCTGCAGCTGGACTTTCTTTTTCTTGTGTTAATAATGGCAGTTTCGTGCCCAAGTCGGACAAATTAACACTCCTTGAAAATATTCATGAAAACTATGAAAAGAAGCTGGCAGATGAAGGGCAGTGTTTTTTCTTTGCCCTCTCGGAGTGCTTTATGGACAACAAAAAGTATAGTCTACTGGTAAGGAGCTGTTCATTAATTCTTTGGGGTTGTATTTCTTTCCCTTTTTAATATATTTATACACTTGTTTCTTTCTTCAGTGTGGCATCAAATAATGCTGAAGGGCTGGCTGAAAATAATAACAAGAGGATGAGAGTTTATATTGCTTTACTGGGCCCTGCTCAATCCTGCTGAGAGTGGAAGCATCTGCTTTGGCTTCAGGAAGACTTCTGCTCTCCCCTGGGACTAGGTGGTGTGTGTTAGGGGTGCCTGAAGAAATACACAAGGAATGAGGCTTTTGAGTAATAAGGGTATTATAGAAATGTTTTTAAATATAAAAGTATTATTTTTTCAACTATTTAAGAAAAAAAAAGATGTTATGAAACTTCTCACCAGAGCAGAAAGTTCTCTGGTGTTTTTACTCAGTAGCCGTTGTTTCACAGCGGTGGTCTTTTTAATCAAGCTTATAAAGTAGGTGGGCTGAGATGGACTCAATCTATCAAGCAATGGTCCCGGCAATAAGTAACATACACAGGAGCTGCTTGGTACATTCTGAGCAATGAATGTTTTGGTTCTTTTTTTCTTTCTTTTTTTTTTTTTTTCCTTCCCACCCAGCCTACTCCCTTCCTCTGGTGTGTGCAGAAAGCCTGGAGAAGAATCCTGGTTCAAGTGGCTGGGGTTGACAAGGGTTTTGCGTGGCACAGTGAAGGTTCAGCAGAGCCCTGACAGCTCCGTTCTGCTTCCCTAGGCCTCCAACATGATGCTGGAGACTATTTAAATTGCAGACCAGTAAATGTACCCCGGGAGAGGGGCAGACCCCGCGGGGTGAAGTGAGTGTTTGCTGACACAAAGCTGGCTTTTCTTGCGCACTCTGCTAGATCCTGGAGCATTTGCCAAGGGGTCGCCCTGCTCTAAAGGTTCCAYGTGGGATCCCCTTTGCTGATTGGAAGCAGGGACACGCACACACACTTGTTTCTCTGGCTTCTAATATGGATTGTAATAATCAAGAAATAATAGCTGTAGGATTTTTTACAAGACTAGCAAAATAGATATGAAATCTGAATATGCAGCAGATCTGAAGAGGATT